TGACTAGAGCAGGGCTGTGGAATCCAGTTCTGGAAGGCAGATGGTCCCTGCCACAAACAACCACTCAACTCCGTCACTGAGCACAAAAAAAATACCCTTAGATGGTACTTAAAAAAGGACTTAGCTTTGTGAAAATAAAGCTTTGTTTACAACAGCTGAGAGTGGGCAGGCTCTGGTACTGGGACTACATTTTGCACATCCTTGCCGTAGAGGACTTTAGTGTCCTTCATCTGTCTTGCAACAGAGTTGGGCCTACAGAGGTAACTCTCTAGTGAAACACAAGCAAACCATTAAATCCATCCTTGGCCTTTTAGAATCTCCAACATAAATACATCAGAAAAGTGCAGAGGAACAGTGAAGATCTGTCAAAACTCAGAGCAAAACTGCCCACCTGCAATGTCTAAAAATCCACACAAGCATTACAAAAGCCAAAGTAATTGAAACTGCTGTTGAGATAAGGATGGAAGAGCTGGAGAGGAAGGAGGCAGAGGGGATGGCTGACGCAGAACCTTCCTCAGCAGCGAGGTGCTCACTTACCTCCTGGCCCCATGGATCTTCTGCAGTTTGAGCTTTGGTCTTTTCCTATGGAAAAGAGCAGTGTAGGTGGCCTTGTACTTTGGGCATCTAGGGGCAACAATGAAGGTCAAACTGCGTCTGAGTCTCCTTATCAGTTGCTATAGCGACAAGAAAAACTGCCAGGAAGAGTCACAACACACCTTCACTTCCTGTGTGCAACCCATAGTCGCTTTTGAGCCTGTGCACCAGAGTTCTTATGGCTCCTTGCCAGGGAAGCGTCTCGGGCATTCCCCTGGAGTCCTCCAACTCCTTGGCTCTCGCAGCTGATTTCCTACAGGTGTCTTGAATAGAAACACCTTGCTGATTGCCTCCAGGTGCCAAGTCTAACCTGAGGGGCCCTATTTCTGTCATCTCCAGGCTTTTTAAAACAGGATTTCATGTCGTTTATCACTGGCACTGAAATTACTCGGAGATGCCGATTCAAAGTGTTAGATACACAGGTTTGACTTCACATCTATTGAATGAATGTCTTGTCAATAGCTGGAGACTTGGGAACAGAATGTAAGCAACACATTCTTTTTGCACATATGTAGGAAAATGGTTTTCAGGCAGTTCCACCTTAGCTGAGTCAAAACCATAGCAGATTGGTCCAAGGAATTTGCACTCATATCTGCTGATGGCTAACTTTCCAACCTCCTCCCATTGAACCTACAGAATTTACAACCTTAACCTATTAAGGTTAATAGGGAAATAAGAGGATTGTTGTCTTAATGGAAATATGAAAATGCATGCATGAGTTCTGGAGCTAAGGGGAAGAGAATTTTCTTTGCTAAGCATTGGGAGAGTAGTCTCCCTCTCAAAAGTAAAAATTATCAAAAAAAGTAAATACTAACATGTCTCTTTAGTTTTCTGCTTCTGACAAAAGTGGCTTAACAACTTTGAGCCTGAGGATTAGGCATTGTGAATTCAGACAGTGTTCTTGTGGTAGTGTACAAACTGGTGTACACAGATGGTTTTAAATTAATACTTGGTAAATGAAAGGATGAATTTCAGAAACTCAAGCCATCTTACTCTACAGAGTGTTTTGGGTAAAAGATCTTTCTAACACTGTGCTAAAAGGGGAGCATGCAAACCACTCCCTTATTTATCTCTCATGTCACCTTCCAATACTATTCCCAATGCTCCTTTTCCCAATATATAACTGAAACATTGCCTGTGTCCAAGAAGAATTACATAATTTAACCTCCAGATTCCAGGCTATTGGTAGTGTTGGCACGAGTGCCTTTAAATTTAGTTTTAATTATAAACAAGTCCACCACAGCTTCACAAAACTCACGTTTCTCAGACTTGTTCATTCATCATTGAATTAGAAAAACAAAAATCAAAATAATTCCAAATCACCATTCCCCTGAGTTAAGGACAGAAATTAAAGGGTTCAATTTTTCATGGTCTCTGCCTGAAAATCTAAAACTAATAAAAGATAGTATGGGGAGTCCTTATTTTCTATAGCAGGTGCAGAGCTGGCAACTGCATCGTGGGTGAAGTCAGCTCCACTTGTGTTTGTGAATAAGCTTTATTAAAACAGCCACGCCCATCTTTTTATGTATGCCTGTGGCTGATTTTGTTGTAGAAGACCCTATGACCACAAAGCTTAAAATATTTACATTCTAACCTTTAGTGGGAAAAGTTTGCTCTTCCCCGAGTCAGCCTGTCTTAGGAGCTTATGGAGCGGGCTCAAGAATCTGACTGCCTGAGTTCAAATGCACTCAATAGCTAAGAAGATGACTGCATAGTAATTAAATAATTTAGACTGCTTGAGGTTCAGTTTCTCCATCTGTGAAATGGGAATGGTAATTATACTTACATCATGGATGTACTGCAGAGATTCAATGATACCACTAAACTACTTAGACACGAGCTTGATAATAAGTAAAAGCTGTTAAGATCATCTAATAGAATGCTCGTGTTTGTCAAAATGCTTCTTTCCCTAAATATGCTAAAAAAGTTCTCACTTGCAGTTAACTGCATTCGGCAACATTTCTCTGCACACTCATTAGCTTGAGACTTGTTTCAACAATTTGACTTCGTTAAAATAAAAATTCTTTCTTTAATTCCATTTCCTTTATCTGCTTCTTCAACTTAATCTCCCCTGTTGGCTGCCAAGGCCATGGGAATTCGGGAGAATCTCTTATGAGACAGCCTTAGAAGAAAAGGAAAAACCAACTACAGTCAAAAATGAACAGTGGGGGATTATCACAGGCATGTGGCAAACCAAAATTTTAAGAGACTAAAATGAATGTATCTGGAAGAAGGAGGCAGGGCCCAAATGATGTGAAAAGCAGCTACAGAGAACCCAGAGCACAGATGCATAAAAGTGAAGCCATTAGCACTAAACTATTCACAGGTCCTTAATCTATTAACCAATTGTTAGCTGAATTCAATCCTCCTTTCCCAGGTATAGCTCAGCCCCTGAGAAAACATCCTGACTAGTGCTCTCTTTGGAATCCCAGCTAACTCTGAAACAAGGGACTTAGCAAACGTGGGTTTTAGCAGGGCCAAACATATCGGTTTATAATTGGTGTCTACCTCCATTTTGAGAAATTTCATGCTATTAGAAGTACAAATGACAATGAACCTTTTTATGGCTCTTTTTTGAACCTTAGGGAATTTTATTTTTTCTTAAAATACCAGTAAGCATATCCTGTGGAAAATAATGCTTTTGGAAGGGCCTAGAATGAAAAATGTTTACAGATAATATGAATTTACCTCTCCATGTAAAAAGAATTACATTCCAAGGATATGAGTTTATTCCTCTATTAGTTCAATATATTTATCAAGCATGAACTGTGTGCCAGGCACAGCTCTAGGGCTTGGTATTAGAATTGCTAGACTCAGCAAAAAGAAATATAGAACCATTATAGCAGGGAGGAGGATCAGAAGAAAACAGTCTAGGCCTGAGTCCTGAGAAAGTAGCAGGGAGGTAGGGATGGTGTAGCAGAGAGATAAAACCTGAGAAATCTGAACATGAGGAAGGTCACATAGCACTAGAGTAAAGTAGCCAATAAAATTAAATATAACCATATATGGATTAGACCTTGCTTTTTGCTTCTGTAACCTGCTTACAAGGGTCTATAAGGTGAGACCCCTTTGTTCTCGGGGCTCAGCCTTTGGACATGAGTCTGCTGAGTCTGTGCTGGCACAATAAAATATTGCTTCCTGCTAATTGCCTCAAGAGTCTTGTATCTCAGCTAGCAAACTCCTGCAACACCATCAAGGTAAACTGGAATTTCAGATCTACAATGAACACTTAAAAATATAATCCTGTCCCAAGCAGTATTTGGGCCACACACGTCTATAATAAAACCATGAGCATCGTTTATCTGAATGTCAAATTTAACTGGGTATCCTATGTTTTGTCCGGCAACCTTACTAGAATAGAGCAGTGAATAAGATGTGTCCCATCCCTTCTTGTGTGTACAGCTTTTTAGGAACCCTAAACTCTAATCTCAAGTTGTCTGGACACTCAATTCCCATCTGGCCTTTCTCCAGTGAGCAAGCCTGGGAAAGAGAGTAACCTTCTTTTTAGAAGTCCATCACCACTGGGGACCCATTTAGCAAGTGTCACTATGTACTGTATTTGCAACCTTATTTCCTTGCTGTCCTCCTCTGGAATTAAGATCTTCTGGATCCTCTAGAATTCAGTATAGATCCCTGGACTCTAGCACAGTGCCAGGAGTCAGTGGACACTCAGTAAGAGCAGCTTAAAAACTCAGTGAACAAATACATAAATGCTTGAATTTACATCAAGCACAATGCAGAGCCATGCTCACAGTTTATAAGGAAAATTTCCACACACCCCTGAGAAGCACTGATGATACAGAGAACACTGTGCGGCCAGCGGCCGAAGACCACGAGTGAGGAACGATCGTTTATTTTAAAATGTCTTACGGAAGTACTCCAAAGAAAACGGGCTTCTTAAACAGGGGGAACAGGGCGCGAGGAGCACGAGACGTGTAATGCTGTAAACAATACAAAAGGGTTTCTTGGAGGGCTGGTTATGAACCAGGTGAGATGAGTCGAAGCACTGACTTAACTGATCGGTAACATAACCAATACAATTCCCAGTGACTAACCAGAACCACAAAGTAATAACTGAGGAACAGCCTGAAAACAAATAACAAATAATTAAGAGCCATTTTATTGTCAATACAGACTGTCAGACAATCAAAACACTCAAAAGGAAAACTCCCACAAATCCACAAAAGGAAGAGTCAGAGAAGAGCAATGGACATCGTATCTACCATAGAAAACCATTTTGTGGCATTGATTCTTTTTGTCCAGCTGCAAAAAAGGGGGGAAAGTTGATATCTATACAGCAGGTTTCAAGGGGGAGGGAAGGAGGAAGAAAAAGAAAAGGAGAAAAAATACATAATATGTATATATATATATATGTATATATATATATATATATACATATATATATATACTGTATTGCAGTTTCCCAATGACCACACATTAACCAGGACATTAAGCTGATTTTCTTCACTTATTGTGGCTTCCCTTGCTGTCATTCTGTGACCTCCTGCGTGGATCTGTGGCTGACGAATCACAGGTGCACTAACAATTCAATTTGGCACAGCTACTGTCAGTGCTCAGACCGATAGGCAGGAAAAGTCTCTGTTCGATGAAGTTTCAGAGGGCTGGTGACATCTTTTCCAAAAAGAATTTAAAAACAACAGTTATCTTTTAAGAAAGTCCATGATCAAATTAGCTAGTAACAAGTTTTTATTTAACAGAAAGCAGTAACATATACTCCTGACATGGAATTTTTTTCCTAAGGCCACTCACAGTGATACGCAAATTCGAGTCTTAAGATATTGCAAGATTAACATATCATTTGCAGGTGGCCTTTGCATTCAGTTGTAACCTGTCTAATATTAGCAGCTATTTTCCTCCTTGATTTTTCATTTGCATCAACCCCTACACCCAGGGTATTTAGAGGAAATGAAAGAGAGAGAGACACAAACACACAGAACTATGGAAACTTTGGGGGTGAATACTCTTTGCAAACCTGATCAGCAATAAGACAATACAATGCTTTTACTTAGATATCTTCTAAACATAAAAGAGGACTTTTTAAAATCTGTCTAGACTTCTTTAGATCAAGTTTAGGTTCCAAACCAAGCAAAGTCAAGAAGAATTAGTACCTTTGTGACATAATACAGAGGTTAACCAACTTTCTCTGTAAAGGGCAGATACTAATCAGATGCCAGCAGCCACAGTCAATATATAGTGAATGAACATGGGTGCTCCAATAAAACTTTATTAAAGAAAGCAGAAAGCATGCTGGCTGGACTTGGCCTCTGAGTAACCCCAGTTTGATTTTATAAAACAAGATGCCTTACTGCCCCCTGCTGGCTGGAGGTTACCTCAACCCGAGAAATTTACACTACTAAGCAAAGAACTCTGAATCTTGACAAGCAAAGGTGGGCATGGAGTGAGCACAAGGTGCAGAGAGATAGATCCGCAGCCAAGGGAGCCTGTATCCCCCACCTACACATTAAAAAAAAAGAATGTTTTTATCACTGAACCAAGCAAAAAGGGTGAAGGTGGCATGTGGTCTTCAAGCCTTAAGCTGATGTTCTAAAATCCACTAGCAAGGACAGCCCTGACTGTACTAGGACCTCAGCAAAGGCCTCTCTGATCCTCCCACCAAAGCATGAACATAGTAGGCAAGGAAGAACATAACTTTTTTTTGCCTATTTTTTTATTAGCATATATTAATAGTACAAGGAGGCTTCATTGTGACAATGCCATAGATTTGTACAGTGTACTTTGAACAAATTCACCTCATCTGTTATGTTCTCTTAGTCCCCCAGTCTCCTCCCCATCCTTTTCAAACAGTTTCGTGGGGTTTGTTATGCTGCTTTCATACATACAATGTGTAAGGTACTGCAATCCTCTTCAAGCCCCCCCACCCCCATACCCTCTCCTTTCCCCTTCCCCTCTCCATGATTCCCCAACAGTTCCCCTTTATATTCAAGTCCCATTCTTAAATATTATTAAGAACATAACTTTTGACTCATTTTCCTCTTCAACAGAACGAGGGAAAACATTTGCTCTGTCATCCACATATTTCTATTGAGGATTAAAGAAAGCACAAAGTGCTTTGTGAACTGTAAAGTTTTATGAAAATTACTCCCATCACAACCTCAAAACAAAACAGACATAGGAGATCTTACTAGAAAGCTTTGAATGTGCCTGATTTTTATACACAGACACAAAAATCCACCTCTTCACGTTACGGGCAAGTCCCTTGCCTGCACCTTCAGCGACAGCTGCTTAAACTCCAAGAGTTTCCAGGAAGAGTGACAGATGTCATCCACTCTGAGAGCCCTCACAGCTTCTAGCAAGATGGGTAACTGGATCTTTCCAGCTTGGTTTGAAAGCTGTGCTTAGCTTAAGGACAAAAATGACCAAAGAATTTTTCATCCCCTCCCATATATTTCCAGGGGGTGCGGGTCACAAACTGGTACTGGCCTGGAGAAGGCACCTGGGCCCAGACACTCCCCAGCATGCATAGATTCAGGCTCCTACAACAAGTGGAATTGCTTGTTGATATTTAATTAGCATCAGACTTCCCATAAAGGTGCTAATTTCCCTGTTCTCTTGGAAACTGGAAGACAAACTGGCCCTACATTTGCTACAAGATGACTAACAGGGGGCTGCAGACTGCCCTCAGATGAGGCTGCTGCTAACTGTGACCTTTGCCAGGGACCTGATACTCCAGCTGTCCTGACCAACTCACTTCATGTTCTGCTTGAACCCTATAGAAAAGATTTTGAGACCCTGTTTATTTGTCATCCTTTCACATGTGTTCAGATCTTAATCTATTGCTTCTCTCTTATCTGCTGCATATCCAATGTATGTGAGTGTTAGAAGTCACACTCCTGAAACGATATGAACATCCCCGAAGTAGTCTCTTGCTCTAAGAATCTATCACTCTCAAAATGGGTACGTAACTTGCATGGCCTGGCACCAATCCTGAGGACAACCCTGACCTCAGGCATGTTGCCTTTGAACCACTCATGGGTATGGGGTTGCTCCCACAGCCACGGTCATAAGATGACTCAGAAGGCCGGTGTCATCAGCCTTGTGATCCTGGGCCAGTACTTGATCACTACAGGTCTCCATTTCTTCATTTGTTGAGATGGAGAGGATAGTCCTGCTCTTACCAACTCCAGCAGCTGGGGAAACCAAATAAAGTAGGTAGAAAGTGCTGGCAGAGAGGCACAGCCTCCGGTGCCACTCTTTGATCTCCTATTTAATAAATGACAGAGATGGGTATTTTCCCTTGCTTTCGTTTTGAAATAAGTGATGCTATCTTTAAGGCAATTCCAGTGAATGCATTCTGAAAATTCTGGCGCAGTGGCATCTTTAGAGTAAGGTGAAAACATTGAGGAAGAGGTGAGGGCCTGAGACAGGCCCACAGCACTGAAGCTAGACACTGCACAGCTCATGTGCAATGGTGCTGGAGCTGCTGTCCCATTGACTCTCTTGCAATCCTTGAACTAAAATGTGAATTCAGCCTACCACACCTGTGCTTAGCTCTCTAAGGCTTCTCTGCACACTTTACATAAGCACATCATAGCCACTTCAACATCACCACAGCTTTCTCCTCACACTTTTTAGGCCCCAGCGGCACTGACTGCTCTTGAGGCCCTTCTCTCCACCCCTCATTTTTGCCTCAGGCCCTTTACACTTGCTCATCTCTCTGTGGGGAATGCTTTTCCCAGGCTCTCAGGATGGCTGGCTCTTCTAGACTTAAAGTCCTAAGGTCAATGCTGGGGCTTCCACTGGTTACTCCATCTGACAAGTCCCAGGTCAGGTCTCCCCCAAGCCAGCAACTCTGCCTCACTTTCTATAAACACTTCTTTCTATATATATGGTAAACATTTCTTTTCTACATTGACATGTATGGAATTTGAAATTAAATGTTTACTTAACTATTGCCTGTGATTCTCCTATTACATTTTGAGCTCCAGGACGGAAGAGACAGCCTGGGCATTAGCCCCATATGTCTGTTATCCAGCATAGGGCTGGCCAAAAGTAGATCTCAGTAAATGTGAGGGAGGTAAGTGAGCGAGGGGTGGATGCATAAAGAAAGGAAACCCTTAAACCGTAACTGCTTACGAGATGTTGGACACGGCACTAACCCTTAAAATTCTTGATTTCTTAGTAGCAAATGAGAATACAGTCTCTCATGTCATCTGTTTGGAGGTCAGGTGCCTATGCACAGCCTCGTCCTCAGCAGGTCCTCAGAAAGAGTAGCTGTAGAAAAGACACCCACTGAATGCACCTGTCTCCCCTATAAGGACTGGGTAAGGGATTTCAGCACTTCCCTGGAAGTATACTAATATTTGTTCATCTAAAAAAGGAGAAAAGAGGCTTCTTGTTCAAAAAAATTGCAGAGATTTGATTTAAGTAATACTAAACCCATTATTTATTGCAGGATATCTCAGAGGATTGAAAATACTGATTTGTATTCTAAATTTCCAAGAAAAGAAGTTTAACCTGCAGCATTTCCACCAAATTTGATGGGCACTGTACTTTTTTTTGGAGGAGTGTTGTCTGCCAGCACTCATAGAACACATTTGGTGAATTTTTTTTTTTTTAAATCCAAGAATCCAGGGAATATGGTGTTTAACAAAGATTTGTCAAATGTTTTTCTTTCATAAATGTCTTCTGGTTTTTATTCTAAATCTCTCTCACATGTTGATTGTGCACCTAACCATAGGAGAGAATTTCTATATGAAATTGGCAAGTGGATTGGAGTAAGCAAGGAAGGTAAATTAAATGTCTTCATGCATGGGTCACATGTCAAAACCAAGCCATTCCTTCCTCTATCAGAAATAATAAAATAAAAATTCCAAAATTGAACAGCAGGTGGCAGTCTAGGACTAAATTTAGGGAGGAAACGAGCCTTTTTCTCAACCAGTTTGATTAATTCTCCTATGAGAACCTGTCTGATTTCCAAGATTAGCCAACAGATCTGCCAGGAAACAAAGGCTTGAAATCCATCAAGATAGAGGACTTAGCCAGATGAGTCACCACCCATAAGGATAAGCAAAACAAAAAGAAATTATATCTTGGTAACTTCATCATAGGTACCCATAGGGCCACCAGGTATCTGTCCTTGATTTCATGTTTTAAGGGAGAGGAGGGGGGGAAAAGGAAAGATTTGCTCATAGTAAGCTAGTGGGAACAGCTCCTTAGAGCTTGAGGGGACACTGATGGTGAGACCTGGAGGTGAGCAAGCGTTAACTCAGATGACAGGAGGACAAAGCATTCCAGGAACTTTTGTCCAGAGCAGGAGTGACAAGGAGGAAGTTCTTGGTCCTGCATGAGCAGCTAAAGAAGATTAGTGGACCTGGACACAAGGCAGACATGGATGACTGAGGCTGTTTTCAGTGTCACTCATTCTGTCCTGCATTCAATGAATTTATGGAAGCTGGGTGTCAAGGAGGGCACCTGCTCTCAGTTTGGGGCATCTTGCACTCATGAGTGAAAGTTCTTCAGAGAGGATCACATAGGTTTCTTTGCTGGTTTGCTTATAAATGAGGTATAAACACATCGTTCCTTTTTATTATAAAAGTATAAAAAGGCAAATTTAAAAAGTAAGAAAGGGCTTAAATATGATGCTTAATTTTTCTTATTGGTTCCCCAATGAGCAGGTCTATACCCTGCTTCAGAGACTGTGGTTTCTGGAAAGTGGCTCATTCAGATTTGCCTGAAGTGATACAGTGTGGCCAGAAGCCATGACTCCCTGCTTTTGCCCAGGACACTGTCTCACAGAGGAGTGGTTCTTACCTGGACCATTCAGGAGAAGCACCTAGAAGGCTGATTGCCCAGGTTCAGTAGGTCTGGGGAGGACCTGACAATCTGCATCTCTAGCAGATTCCCCAGTGGTGCTGATGCTGTTAGCTATTAAACCATGCAGTATTTCTCCAAGCCTGGATGCCAGACTCTGTAGGGGTTTATTTAAAAGGTAGACTTTTCTGCCACATCCCACCTCTTAGGCTCCATGACCTCTGGGTCTGAGGGCCTAAGAATCTCCATTTCAATAATTTCACACAGGATATTGTGATAGGTGCAAATCTTAGAGGATCTGGGCTCTAGAAAGATGAAGTGCCCCCTGTCATGAGGCCTTGCTGGGTGCCCTCACCCAGGGAGGAAGGGACTCACCAGAGCAGCATGTAACAATAGTGATCTGATCCCAGCTGACCCCCTGCCCTGAGCACAGGCTCTCCCCCGCCCACACCCCAAGACAGTGAACCCACTTACCTTGCAGGCGGTAGAGCTGCCCCGTGCTGTGCTGCCGTGTGATGTGTTGCCAGTAGGCACTGCGAGGCAGGGGCACCACGGTGCTCAGCGAGGCGGCACGCTCGCTCATCTTCATCTGGAGCTGTGGTCAAAGAGAATGGAGTAAAGTCAGCAAGGCTAAAGCTGAGAGAGACTTGAGCCAGGGACAATGCCAGAGAGCCAAGGCCCAGAACCACAGAGTCACTGGGGTGGCCGACAGCTGTTGCTCTTGCATGCTAAGTGGCTCCATCCTTCAATCTGCACACAGTATTGACTTTCCTTTGGGAACTTCTCTCCGACATAGCTCAGTCCTTCCAGCTCTGATGGGGCTGAGGTAACCATAGACCCTAGGATTGAGCTGGTGACCCACCAAAGGCTGATATAATTCAACCCCCACTGTTTATAGAACAAAGAAATCAAAAGAGGCAAACTAAGGATTTGTGTCTGTTTTGTTCACGACTTTATGCAACTATCAAAAATACTTCCCGGCTCACAGTAGGTACGCAAGAAACAAATGTTGAATGGAAGGAAAGAGCTTTCTCGCAGGGTAGGGTCAGAGCTTATCTCAGAAAAACAAAGGGAGAACCTGTCAGTGAAGAGAAAACACTCAAGAAAAGAAGAGCAAGGCTCTGACAAGCCCCACTAAGACCCGATCTGCCTGCATACAGAGGCCAGCCCCAGACTTCACCACATGAGTCATGGCTTCTGTGCACTTTAAGCTGCTTTCAGGTGGGTGCGTTATCACTAGCCTGAGAACCAACTCTGTCAGCTTGCCCAAGTGCCTTTCTCAGCTTGTCTTGTTCCACACACTGATGGAGAAAAAGGGAAGAAGCAGTCAGAGTCCCCCAGGTCCTTACAGAATAGCCAACGTCCTGTCCTACCACACAAGGGGAGTGGAACACACAGGGAAGGGAATGTCAGAGACACGGCCTAGTAGGATGGGTAGAATAAAAGGAAAGGTATACAGGGACCACACACACAAGAAGGATGGGCACGCCAGATGAAGTAGCCCTCCAGCCACCCTCATCTAAGCCCTGTCTCAGACACAATCATGATACACTTTATTAAGCCATTGCTCGAGAAGTGACTATCTGCAAAGTTTGACTTCCTGGATACTTGAGTGTCAAGCATTCCCATCCCAGTCTTTAAAAAATGCAGTCACATGTCTACAGATCTGTGTAGGATGTTTACTGAGGTGTAATTTGTAGTCATTAAAATCTGGAGGAAACTGAAGTGTCCCTTGGTCAAAATCTGGTTCATTATAGACAATGGAACATTTGACAAGTGCTTCACATGAAGATGGAGGACTGAGATAAACTGAAAAGGAAATTGCGTTGTATCATGAAGGAAGCACGGGTGAGTTGCAGAACACCATACCTAGTGGAATGCCAGTTTAGGTGCTCATGAAAAATGGTTGCATTCAACTCCTATCTTCCTAAGTTGTGTGAGAATTTGGTGAGATGACACCTTGCCTTGCTTGGCAGACAGTAGGTATAGGAAGAGAAATGGAAATGATGGTGATGGTTAGAGACAGGTTCCTCCTCCACAGAAGTTTCAGGTACAGTGTCTGCACATTCACTAAGGAAAACCAAAATAATAGGAGGCTGCAAACCCTGGAGACCAGAACTCACTGCAGTTGACTGGACTCACAGTGAAAAAGGATAATAACTGTTCACTCAAAAGATAATTTAATTTTATGTGTTGCTTTTACATTTGCTAGATTGAATTCCTGGTCCCTATCATAACAGTACAATTACCAAAACGTATCCCCAAATAGAATTATAAAGCCCTAGTGGCTTCATAGGGATAGTTTTTTCTTAAAAAAAAAAAAATGCACTCTTAGATCAAAAGGTGAAAAAAACTGAGCTCTGAGCTAGTAGAAAGCTCAGTGGTTCTCTCTGAATCTGCAAAAAAAAAAAAAATCTCAAAAAGAGAAGAAAAAGGCAACTATTTACCGGTGACATTCAACCTTATTTACATGGAATGCAAGAAATAAAGGAAGGAAAAAGATGAATTCAGAAGTCCTGGTTATTTGATTTTCTTAATATGAAGAGATTATATTTAGTATAAATAAAAGTTTAATATAGGGAAACACTTGGGGGCATAACACCGTCTTCAAATTATTCATCACGTTGAAGCATATATATTTAAGCAGCCCAGCACGATTTGGTGGTATTTTTAGAAAGCTTAAGGAGGAACAAGAATAAAGTGACATCAATGACATGTTTTGTAGAGAACAGAGCAAAGACTAGCTCACTGTTTCTCCTTCAACCCTTTGAAAGAATGTCTAATTTTATGAAAGGAGTATTTTAATTGTCCTTAGAGAAAAATGATGATAAATGCCTTCTCATGTCTGAATAACTCTCTAAGAGTGAGAAGACTCAGGAAGTCACTTTGTGACAGACTGGCAGCAAACTTCCCCTTCATTCCCCCAAATCACTCAAACTGGGGAAGGAAGAGTGAAAGGTGCTCACATACATCACTGGGGGAAATATAAGTTAGCATCCATGTGGAGAAATTAAAATTGGGTACTTGGGAGTATCTATAGAGAATTATAGACTTCCTCCTTGTTAAAGAAGTCACGTACTTTTATATAATTTGATTTTTTCATAAGCTATGTAATACTTTCACATTAGAAAAATTAAAATTACCTCAAATCTTAAGATTGTGAAATATGAGAATTTCTGCCATAGTGTGTCATTGATATATTCCTGAAAAAAACTTCCTTTCAAAAATTGTGGGAGAGTCTGGTTAGGGAAAGCTCCCTCCAACCCTGTACCAATCTATAGTAGTTTCTGTTACTTTGGGGAATAGTTTGGGCAGCCAAGGGAGGCTGGAGGTTAATAGGGGGTCAGAAAACATGCAGAAAAATGCTTAGTTGGAAATGCTAATTTGAGGGAGTCTAGATGGTGGAGATGGAAGAAGAGCTCATTTCAAAAGGTGGGCATTGATGGCTATGCAACCACATGAGCAAGACCACACAGGACCAGGTGCATCCTCTGTGCCTTGTTTATCTCTTACCTTGTCCACTTTAGCTGGAAGATCCCCTGCCTGTGCAGTAGTTATAAAGGCTTTAATCCTTTACAGCTTAATTAAGATCACAATTCTGCCCCTACTAATCTGGGCTTCCCTTGCTAGGAAATATCCCTTATCAACAATACAACCTCGACTTGATGATGAATCTTTCTTGATGTATCAAGCGCATCTGTAGAAAGAGGTTGGAGTGAAATAATTGTGTACTATACCTCACCCATACTCCTGCCCCATCTATTCTAATACATGTACGTCCTTCTATATTAAAACAACCACCACAAGAAAATCATAGGCCATCCATGGTGTCTCCTGTGTCAGATAACCAGATAGGATCATGAAACATTAGAGTTGGAAGAACTTGGGGAGCATCTACCCCCAGTCTCTCAAGTTAATCGGCCAAGAGATCAAGTATTCTCAGGCAAACAGCCCCACTTCTTACAGGGGTGCTCTGATCCTGAGACCCATCCAGCCTCATGCCTCGCCATGACCCACACCAATCACCCAATGTCTGCTTCCAGCAGAAGTGTATGCCATCATACTTCTGCTCCCAAGCCTGAAAGCTCTCTCCACTTCTCACCTTGCTAATGCCTACCTGTTCTCCACCTGCCCCCAAGGATTATCCTCAGAAATCATCTCCCTGACAATCTCCTTACAGAAGACTCCCCTCCTCGGATGCTCCTATCAGATATCACATAGCCTGGCTCATATTCCAATCATTGCATCATTTTGTTCTAGTTGCTAAACTAGCCTGCCTCCAACTGCAAACCATGAAATCCTGCAAAGCAGGGAGTACAGCTTTTTAAAGCTCTGGCACTTAGCTGAGGCCTCCAAAGGCCAAATAAATGTGTGACGGATGAATGAATGAATGTGTAAATGAATGAACACAACATTTACCCAAGTAGCCAAGAATAGTTTTCAGAAAGAAATTCTAATCATCCCACCAAATGAGAAGTACTGCTAGCCCAAGACTGAGTTCATGCGGCAACTTTGGGTCCAGGTTAAATTAAGAGGGCTGTCTCTGACTGTGGGGGTCACGGTAATAAGACTTATCTCACACTACACTTTGCCATTCAAGTGAGGAGCTGAAATCTTTGGGGACAGATCTGCGGTGTGCATGAGTACAGTTGTTGAGGATAGCCTCAAAGCAAAGCAGGTGAATTTAGCTCTACTCATTCATTCATTTGATCTGTGTCAGCTGAAGATTCCACCAGGGAAGGAAGACAAGGCTTTGCAAAAGTCAAACAATTGTCTTGGTGTATGTGAACACTTAATCTTTCCCCTATGCAGCAGGGGTGCATGTAGATCTCTTCCAAACGCAGTCTAAATGAAGCCTGGCACTGCCCAGTAGCATGGAGTACTCACAGCAATCACTCAACCTTTGTACTTTATTGGGATTTGAATGTGCAAGAAACACTGTGCTGCTGGAGAGAGAAGCTGACCGTGAACTAGGAGACCCATGGTACCATGAAGTTCTGCTCCAGGTTATAACTACATGGACCTAAGTTAATTGTGCCAGGTGAAAGAAGCAAGTTACAAACCACAAACTCCTATTGCATTTTATTCCATTTATGTGAAATGTCCAGAATAGGCAAACCCCTAAGGAGAGAAAGTAAATTAGTGGTTGCCTCACTCTAGGGGCTGATCCCTAAAAAGGATGAGGTTTCTTTTTTCTTTCTAATTTATTTATTTTTGATATACTGGGGTTGGAACTTGGGGCTTCTCCCTTGCTAGGCAGGCGCTCTACCACTTGAGCCATGCCTCCAGCCCTTTTTCTCTGGTTATTTTGGAGATAGAGTCTAGCTTTTTGCTCTGGCCAGCCTGGACCTCAATCCTCCTATTTTATGCTTGCTGCTGTAGCTGGGATGACAGACACACACCACCACATCCAGCTTTCTTCTGTAGAGATGGGAGATCGCAGACATTTTGTCTGGGCTGGCCTCAAACCTCAACCCTCCTGATCTCAGCTTAACAAGTAGCTAGGATTACAGGCGTGTGATACTGGTGCCCAGATTTTGTTGCTGTTGACACAGTCTCATTATGTAGCCCAGACTGGCCTGGAATTCACAATCC